GGGGCGAAACCGGCCGGTCCGGTACCGGAACCGCCGGTCCGGGAACCGGAACCGGTACCGGCCGGCACGGTATAATATCCGGTTACTCGGGGTGGCGGTACCGGAACCGGCGGTTCTGGAACCGGAATCGTACCGTGTCCACCCCTAGGTATGATATGGTTTCTGCTTAACCATGCTTGGATCCATTTCCATCCTATTCTCTCCGTCCCAAAAAGAATACCACATTTTCCTTTCAACAATCATGAGAACTTTTGTTTATTTGTACCTTTTCATTGAATATTTAATTAAATAAAATATTTTTGACCATGTAGTTTTTAAATATGTAAATTTTATTTTTTATTTTTTATTTTTATACCAGTATTTAAATAAAATGAATTGAAAAAAATTTGATATTTTACTTCATTTTGCAAAATGTGACAAACAATTTGGGGAGGGAGTAATTTATATGATATAGTATGGTAATTTCACAGTTTAGAAAATCCATGAAATATGGCCCCATTTTAAACCACATGGTTTGCAATATTTTATTTCCATAAACACCCCTTATTAGACCCAATAATCCAATTTTACCATTTAACCCTTCTTTTTTGTCCTTCAGGGCAAAATCACTTGATATAAAATTTAAGAAAAGTAAAATGTTCGATTGAAAGTGATGCAGAAGAGAAAATTTGCGAGCCACTCAACATTTTCTAAAAAAGGAAAGTGTCTTTATTTGAAACGTTCCAAAAAGGAAATGAGAAGTATTTAGGAATGTTTAATACAATTTTACCATTTAGCTCTTCTTTTCTTGTCTACCAGTGCAAATTTACTTGACACAAAGTTTCAGGAAAGTAAATATGTGCGGTTGAATATGATGTAGAAGAGAGAAAGATTGTGAGCCACTCAAGTTTTCTAAATAAAAAGGTAAGAAAAGTCTTTATTTGAGACGTGCCAAAAAGGGAATAAGAAGTATTTAGCGATAGAGGTAGTAAATGTTTGTGTACTGCAACAAACACTTGTTTTTGCGTATTAGTAATACACTTGGTTTACAAACGCCCCACCCCTATCACATCTCTATTCCAAATTCCATGTAAATAAGAAAACATACTTGAAAATACCGTACTCTAACAATGTGACTCAGGACCTTAACAATATATGGTTCTTCATGGCGTTTAGATTTCATTTGACCAAGGCCATTAATCACACGCATTTTATCGAACATATTGTGTGCAATGAAAAAATGGAGTACAATACCTTGCTAAATATGTTTTGGCACTGAAGAATTCGCAGAGATGATTGCGGAAGTCTCACTAATTTTCTCTAAATTTTAAAACTCGTATCATATTACATAAGAGTTGCTCTATGTTTTAGTTGGAGAGTTTTGAATTTTCTCACTCATAAATCAGCCAAAGGGGTACTTTACTTGTGAGAATCCAAACTATAACAAAAAAAAAATCAAATTAATCACATACTCAAATGGCATGCAAAACTGCTTAAACCAAATGCAGATTAAATTAATTCTAAACTCCCTGTAATCAAGAGTTCTTCAATAATCTATCTCTTTAATTCCTCTTAATCATTACCCTAATCAAATGATTATTGTAGAGCACTACTACTATTTTCTAATCTAATTACTCTAAATTGCACTATAATTTGAAGAACTTCCCCTTCCCATTAGATAATTAAGATTAATCATTAATCTAATTAATCGTAATTAAACATCATAACCTTACAAAGAAAATACTCAATTCCGGCCCGCTATTCGCGTCGGGGCTTATCATGTACAGTGTCTCCGAGTCCTTTGATCCCACCGTCCGGTCAAAATGCGCCCTGACGTAAGCGATCTCGCCGTCCGGCCCGTCCACGTCGGATTTCCCCGGCAGCACTCCGGCGCCCATCGACACCACCTTCAGCGCCTCCATCACCCCCAGATCCTCCTCCGTCGCCTCCCGCCTCTTCCCGTACCCGATCTTCCTCCCGTTGCAGAACATCGTCCACACCGGTTCTTCTAGAAGCTTCACCCTCGCCGCCGCCGCCTTCTCGCATTCCATCGTGATCCTCAACATCCCCTGCCCCATCTCCCTCTGCAGCGCGTGGGTCTGCATCGCCATCTCCAGGACAAGCGTGGGGAGCGTCCCGGGGTTTTCCTGGACGGAGAGGCTCGCCCGTCCCTTTCGGTACCCGAACAGGGTGCCCGTGACGCGGGATCCTCCGCCGCCGCCGCTGCGGACTGGGCCGTCGGGGAATCGGCCGACGGCGTAGGGGATGGAGGGGAACTTGCAGACGGGGTGGGTGATGATTGGGAATGACCGGAACACGGACCGCATTACTCGGAGCACCTTCTCCGGCCGGCCTTTCCGCTTGGTGGCGGAGGGCTCGACGAGGGAGGAGGACGACGGCGGATGGTTCGACGGGGAAGACGATTGGCTGGCGGTGCTCGGGCGGCCTGGCTCCGCCGTCGCTGGTTCTCCCATTATGAATTCTGTTTTGTTTAATGGGTTCAGATAATTGCAACAACCAGCCTCGGGGAGAGTGCCATTTGAGGCGGACAGAGACCGGAGAAAGATGTGGTGAGATTTGATTAACTATAATGAGAGAGAAAGTTAGATATGGTACTCCGTATATTATCCGTAGTTTGATTTTGTCATATTCACAAATTTTTTTGTTTTGAATTATTCTTAATTTATATTGCATATTAATATAATAAAATAAACATTTTTTTATTAATTTGGACTTTCAATTCCAAACCAATCAAATACAACTAAAATTTTGTATTAGAAATATTAGAATGAATTCACAGCATAATTTTCATCTTATTCAATTCATCATCAAAATGATGAGTATAAATATTACAAAGTAAATACTCAAGACAATCAAGGAAGGTAAGTGGAAGATAATCAAATATCTTTGATTGGTAATTTGATTCCAATCAAGGATATTATTCTAGTCATCAATAATATTCCTTTGTTTGACACTATTCATTTGTTTGACATTTCTAACACTCCCCCTCAAGTTGAATCATCCGTTTCGGATATTTAACTTGCTTAATGTTGCTTGAAAGACTCCAGCTGGTACTGCTTTTGTGAGAATGTCTGCCAATTGATCTTCAGATCGGACATATGGAAGACTGATGATATCTGCCTCGAGTTTCTCTTTGATAAAGTGACGATCAATCTCGATGTGCTTGGTACGATCATGTTGTACTGGATTCTCTGATATACGAATAGCAGCGGTATTATCGCACATCAGTCTACATTTACCCTTCGGCGGATACCCCAAATCTTTAAGGAGTTTTCTTAGCCAAAGAACTTCAGTAATTCCTCGAGCGATCCCTCTGAATTCTGCTTCTGCACTTGATAGAGCAACTACCTTTTGTTTCTTGCTTTTCCATGTGACCAAATTACCTCCAACAAAGGTGAAATACCCTGAAGTGGATCTTCGATC